GACGCCTGCCTCCAAATCTCCGTTCCAGGGCGTCGTCCTGGGGTGTTACTTCGGCCCTGCTGCTCTCTATATCTGGGCCATCGGGATCCTCGCTGCCGGCCAGAGCTCCACGATGACGGGGACGTACTCCGGGCAGTTCGTCATGGAGGTAATTAGTGCCCCTAGCTGCCGGCGTCCCCGTTCTCTCTAGTCCCAAGCCTTTACAGCTCGTTAATGATGATTCCCATTCCTTGGACACGCAGCTCCTGCCGGAAGCTCCATAAAACTCCCTGATGTGCCTATAAACAATTCTGCTTTTAATCCTGTCCTGAGCCCCCCCCTCCTCCCGCTGCGCTGGAAGCCCCCCCGCTGTTCTCACCCAGCAGCCGCTCTGGTTTCTGTCCGCAGGGCTTCCTGAACCTCCGCTGGTCCCGTTTCGCCCGGGTGCTGCTGACCCGCTCTATCGCCATCACCCCCACCCTCTTCGTCGCCATTTTTCAGGACGTCGAACACCTGACCGGCATGAACGACTTCTTAAATGTTCTGATGAGCCTCCAGGTGAGCGGCAGCACCCGGTTTGGGGGTCGCCTCTCGGAGAAGACCATCCAAGCCCTGAATATTTCAGGTTCTGGTGCCCCAGGGCTTGTGGGAGCAGCAGGAGTTACTGATAATCTGCCGGGGGGAGGTGGAGAGGGTCAGCCAGAGTCTGAAATTGCTTCCTTCTTCCAGCCAGGGGAAGTCCCTTTGGCTCACGGAACAAGAGCTTTGGGGAAACGCTGTCAGATATGAGCAAGCCTTGGATGTGTGTCCCCGCTGAGATAATCAGAACCATTTCCACTCTTTATTCTTCTCTATTTGCTTCCTCATTCCAGCTTCCGTTTGCTTTGATCCCCATCCTGACATTCACCAGCCTGCCCAGCGTCATGAACGATTTCGCCAACGGATTGTAAGTATGACGCAGGTGACTCCGAGCTGGGCGGGAGTGTGGATCTGCTGGGGGGGAGAGGGGCTCTGCAGAGGGACCTGGCCAGGCTGGATCCATGGGCCCAGCCCAATTGGGTGAGGGTCAACAAGGCCAAGGGCCGGGTCCTGCCCTGGGGTCACCACAACCCCACGCAGCGCTCCAGGCATGGGGCAGAGGGGCTGGAAAGCTGCCCGGCGGAAAAGGCCCTGGGGGGGTTGGTCGAGAGGGGGCTGGATAGGAGGCAGCAGGGTGCCCAGGTGGCCAAGGGGGCCAGCGACATCCTGGCTTGT